TTTTCTGTGTTTGTGTACAGGTAGAGGCTTTGCGACGAGCTGATCACCCGCCCAGGGAGTCCTACCGAATGTGTAAGATCTAGAAAAACCGAAGTGAACGGAGAAGTTCATGGAGGTAGGACTAGGCCCACTGGGGCTGTAGTGCAAAGGGAAAATGTATGGAAAGATGTAGTTATATAGCTTGTGGACAGAATACTGGGATACGAATCCCAACATTTGACTGCAAGAACTAAGAAAAAACACGACAGCTTTCGGTCATGACAGCCGGTATCATGACTGAATTCCAAACTCATAACTTCCTGCACACAAAGCAACTCTGCTAGCCAATCAACCGTAACTGTTAGTGAACGAATATCGTGTTGAATTGTACGTAAGTTTACAAGTATGGAAATGCGTTTCGCCGTGCTACAGCGGCAATTTCTCCGACTCTTCTATACAGTGTGTAGTCTAAACGGTACACATCAGGCACACTCATAAAGTATAAAATCAGTGCTCAGAATTACTGGAATTTTGGACTTTGTCCACCGTCCGGTATTCTAGAAACTAGAAAACAGAATTACTGGATTTCTGGACTTTGTCCATCATCTGATATTCTAGAAACTAGAAAACAGAATTACTGGGTTTTTGGACTTTGTCCATCGTTCGGTATTCTAGACACTAGAAAATAGAATTACTTGTTGTTTTACTTTGTCCATCATCCAGTAATCTAGAAACTAGAAAACACTCAGAATTACTGAGATTTTGAACTTTGTCCGTCGTCCTGTATTCTACAAGTTAGTGTTTTATAGTTTCTAGAATACATGACGATGGGCAAAGTCCCCCCCCAAAAAAAACAATAATTCTGAGTATTATACACAAATCTCAGAAACTTGTAAAATCACTTCCCGGTACACAGACGGAGAAGTAAATTTCATTAAATTATTGTACTGTATACTGACATACGAGAATGTTAAAACGCTGACAATTCAAAATCTTTTGGTGGTCTATGTCAGTTGCATTGTTATGTAGTCATCTAAGTTTCTTATCTGTCTGTCTATCCGACCGTCCGTCGGTCCGTCTAGCTGTCTGCGTGCATGCTTGTCTTGTCTGTTTGTACTTATGTCCGTCCATCTTCCCGTCTGACCGTCCTCTTGCACACCTTTTCTTATCTCTGTCCGTCTCACTCTGTTTTTCTGATAATGATTAGATTTAGTTCAGAAGTAACGCATTATTTCCAGTTATAAGAATTCGGTTCTTATCTCCCAGAAAATTTGCCGCATCTCAAATAAATTATAATTTTATATTTATCGTTCAGGACAACAATTAGGCCTACTGTCGACTGCGAGAACAAAACGAAACACGCTTTGCGGGAGAAATTCAGGATCTTTGTACGTTAAAGCAAGTGATACTTACTTATGGAGCTGAGTCCTTCTTGAGGAGAAGAAGACAAATCTGTAGCTACTCAAGAATTTCCCAGCATTTTATGGAACTCGAAGGTTCAGTACCGTGTTCACAAGAGCCCTCCACTAGTTCCTATCCTGAGCCAGATTAATCCAATCCATATCATCTCATCCTATCTCTCTCAGATCCATTTTAATATTGTCCACCCACCTACGCCTTGGTTTTCCCAGTGGTTTCATTCCTTCTGGCTTTCCCACCAATATCCTATATGAATTCCTCTTCTCCCCCATTCGTGCTACATGCCTTTCCCACCTCATCCTCTTTGACTTGATCATTTTAATTATAATTGGAGAAGAGTACAAGTTATGACGCTCCTCATTATGCAGCAAGTGGTACGTGTAGTACGTAAGGAGTTCAGTTTTCGGATTGCTGTCTTGTAGTCAAGGTACAAAAAGTTTTGTAGCCGTTTATTATGTCCCTTAAATTCACTCTATACTTTTTAAAAACTGAGGTGTTTCTCAGTCTGATTAAAGCCAGAAGTTTTGGTCTGAGTTTATCATACGGAGCTTAGCTAAATGAAATATAAACAACCCATTCTTGTCTTTCAGAAAACACAAACTGTCTCCATTAGAATGGCCAGTCTATTAATGTTTGGGGCTAATATCGCTGTTTATTTCTATTTTGATAACCATTAGTAGGACACATCTCTTGCACTAAATGCATGGCTATAGCTTGTGGAAACCCACATGTAGTTGTTAGTGACCTGTAAGCGTTGGGTGCTCGTTTAGGTTTCTTCAAAATGCATCTCCTTTTCAAATATATGAGTACGGTGGTTCTGATAGCCTGCATTTGTCAGTACACGGCTAAAGAATGTCTGGGCTCGCTGTAACCTGCGACCGTTGCGGCGCCTAGCGAGCTGCCGACAATATTCAGGGAAGTGATAAGGCTTGCAGGAGGAAAGTGATGCGTTTGCGAGACGGGAAATGAGGATTTTCTCTTTTGTTGGAATTTGATTTATATTCCCGTTATCTCTTTTCCCTTTTGCGTTTCTTACTCTCGTTTGCTGAATTAAGTATATTTTCTCTGTGAAGTACACTGCTCCAGTCCCTGATGCTGTTGTTTAGGCGGGTCGCAGTTAATGTCTCTTCAGTGGAAAGGTCTCTAGATCGAGTACCCAATCCAGTTTTACTAAAATTCTTGGTTAGTTTTACTTTGCTGTCCAAGGTGTGAATATTTTCACGTAACCATCATAGTTTATGGGGAGAAGAAGAATGCATGTTTGATATTGGTGGGAAAGCCAGAAGGAAAAAGACCATTGGGATGACCAAGGTGTAGGTGGGTGAACAATATTACAATGGATCTGAGAGAGATAGGATGGGATTGTATGGATTGGATTGATCTGGCTCTGGATAGGGACAAGTGGAGGGCTCTTGTGAAGAAGGCAATGAACCTTCGGGTTCCATAAAATGCTGGGGAATTCTTGAGTAGCTGCAAAATTGGCGGTTTCTCAAGAAGGGCTCAGCTCCATGAGTGAGTGAATGAAGCATCGCAGTTATTTCTCATCAGCCTTTGCAGCTGTCGCCTCTGTAAGTCGTGCTGGATTACTGAAAAACTAATCATGTGGAAGGAATATTAGTGTTGAATGAGAAATAGTTGGGCTGTTATGAGTGTTAAGTTTAAAGACATCCGTGTCTCTTGTAATGCACTGTCTCAGTAGTCGCCTGGAAATGTGGGGAACAGTATGAAAATCCCACTCAAGGCAACCCCCTATCTTTCGGCCAAAACTATGCAGTACTTCCAGCAGGTGACACATCATCAGTGAAGTACCCTAACGACCCAGCCAGTCTTACTAAACTGTTTACCTCTCTTTAGTGTGGGCGTGAAACTTGTTGTCTCACATTAGGGGAAGAATATAGATTGCGCATATTTGAGAACTGAGCGCTGAGGTGAATATTTGGACCTAAGAGAGCCAGGAGGCAAGAGAAAAGTACATTGAATGTAAGTTAATTTTTACTTCTCGGCCGGCTTTGTTAGGATGATGAAATTACGGAATATGGGATGGAGGGGCAAGTAGCACGCACGCACAGCCTACGTACTATATTAAGTAGATTTCCGTTAGCCATGTCTGTATTCATGGCAACTGACATAGTTTTAAACGGTAGCCTGGGTTTCCAAAGAGACGGTAGGTGAAGAGCCTCGTTAAGCACCGGATTGTCAGTCAGTGTTTCCCGAGTAAGTCAGGCTATATAGTTCGTACCACGCAATGGATTAAATACGTATAGGTTTATCTCTTTACCAGTGAATATGCAGGCTTTACCGAAACATTCTCCCATTGGAAAATGACGCACACTGGGTCGTAACTAATACTATGACCAAATTAAATGTATAAAACTTACAGTAAATAAAATTCAGTAAAATTCCTAAATATAATGTACATAATGAATTAACTCATTATAATATGCGGCCTCCGTAGTCTAGAGGTAACGTTCCCACCTCATGACTCGTAGTACGCGGGTTCAAATACCCGGCGGAGGTCGTCGAATTTTTAAGGGCGGAAAAATTCAGGGAACAAGTCCTCCGGGAGGGACTTTAAGCCGTGGGTCCCGTGTCGTAGCTTTACGGCACGTAAAAGAACCTCATACCTCCAAAGGAGGTCACTGAGCCAAAATTGCGGACGTTTCCCGCCCAACAGCAGTCACTAATACCTCCGGTAGATTGGGGGGAGCATTATAGATACCTCTCAGCCAGTAGAGCCGGTCTCGCTGGCTGGGCGGGACTGATGGTAAGCACCAATACCGGTAGGATATAGAGGCTGGTAGAAATCATAGAGGGAAGCACAATGGACCACTACAGGTCTAAGTGCATGGGGAAACCCACCCTCTCTAATAACTAACTAACTAACTCATTACAATATAAGTCACAGTCGTACCTCAACCTAAAAGTTCCCGACTTAGAATTTCTCATTAAATTAACACCCAACATGCTTAAGCTCAGAAATGTCAGACTTTCCATTCGAAACTCGAATTTCGGATTTACACGTGCGCTATGTTGTAATACTCTGACAGCTAAAATCTTAACGATCCATGGTAAGACAATCATTATTTTATTTTTTATCTTTAACAGTTGAAATGTTTTAACACTATGTTTCTTACGTCCCTTATTAAGTTTATAAGATCAGCATATTTGTAGCGTACTGTATTCAGAAATATTGAAAAACTGATCTTAGTCTTGAGCTCTAGGAACATAAAAGAGACTGGCCCACCTTAACAGATTGGCTCCCTTATGCCCCACCCGAGGGCCGCACCCTTTAGAAGTTACAGGGTCCTCCGAAGCCTATTCATAAGAGACAAACCCATCCTCTTGTCAGAAAGGATGTTACATAAGGACTATGACCTTAAGGGTTCAGTTGCAAAGAGAAAACTCTGGTCGTGATCCTCAAGGAGCTTGGCGCCACGACGAACTGATTGGAGATAAACCGCCAAGAGTAAAGTAACCCTGACTTTGAGTTCCTTCGACTTACGAGTCATTTTCGGAGAGAGAAGTGCTTAAGCCCGAGTACGACTATGTTTTGCTATGAATGGCCACGGCAGTGACTGACATGGCGCACTTCTTTGTTTCAGGTTTAGAGCCGCACTCTCAGAGCCGCGCAGATAAGAACTCGAGCCACGGACATCTGACTGCTTCGTCTTTGTCTGGTACGTAATTTGTTGCCAGGGACTCTAAGTCGATGCTGCCTCCAGCATCAGGATGCAGGATGTCTCTGGGTCTATTAGAAATAGCACAACAACCATGAAGATGGAGGCAAAAGTTCTCTCCGAAATTGCGGTAAATATGTACCATATTATATGGCGTCTGCCTGAGACACCTCCAGCTAGTGCCGAGTTCAAGAAAATTTGTATCTCTGCATCCACTCCCCTCATACGCCTCATGGCATAGTGCTTAATTAGTTGAGCACAGGGACAACTTCATCTATACCGCGATAACCTCAAGTCTGAGACATGTTGAATTTCGTTTGAAGTCAGGTGCAGATCGGCGCGTCGAGATTTAGTCGTTCCTTCGCCGCATTCTGCACAAATACGTGTACTTAGAAACCTCAGGGCTAACCACGACACTAGAAGGGCCTTGTTGGACATTTCCTTTTGCAAAATAACTGGAAGAAACCCCCAATTCGTACTTGGACTAAGAGACTGACAGTTCATTTATGTGCTGACAGCAGATTTACCTGTGGTGGACTCCTTTATGTCTTGAAACCATGTGGTTATAATTGTTCTGCAGAAAACTTCAATTTCAGAGCGAATAATAATAATAATAATAATAATAATAATAAATGTATCCATGTAGCAGGACGTGGAGGCCCATAAGGTTGTGAGACGTCGAGGCTTCCACGTTTTCTCTAGACAGTTGGCTCACAGATGGCGGTGAGGTTGTCAGCCTTACGCGCCGGCCGTCCCTTACCCCCAGGAAAATTCATGGTACTCATTTCTGTTAGAGGCTGAGTCTACTCCTGGAAGGATTAGGTCAATTGAAAAACCCAATGACCTCATCGGGAATCGAACCAGCGACCTTCCAGCTGGTAGCATAGCTCCTCAACCAACTACGCTACCGCATCCCCCCATAATAATAATAATAATAATAATAACAACAATCTATTTCCCCATACTGCTGTAGAGCGAGTACAGTTTTGCCATTACCATGGCGACCATGAAGTGTGAACCGAACGCGTAAAACAAACGAAGTCCCATGTGCGCACACATTCCCCTCTCAGAAATATGTCGTCCGTATTTCTGTGCTCCTCCTCCACCGAGATGCTGGGGGAACGGGGGGAGGGAGGGCACATCACAGTATGTGATGGATTCCAATATGGCCGCACAATAGTTAATGTGTGAATGTCTTGTGGAGGCGGGTGGGATGTTGGTATCGCGACAGCCAGTTTGATAAGTCCTAACGAGCGGCTCCCTGTCTCCACGTGGATAAGGACCCCCGCCCCCTCCGCCGACCGTTGCTATGGTAACATTAACTCTGCTAGCAAGGTCCACATCTTCACTGTGTGTAGCAACCATGTAGTGCGAGCGGCCGATAATGGCTCTGAACTTGCGAGAACAATGGTAGGTCGGGAGGCATGAAAACCGACTGCCGTCGCTTCCCGTAGGCCTGCCTTGGAACAGGCAACGACCGCTTCCATCCAGAGTCATTGCCTCTCCATACTGTAGTGTTCGGCATGAGGTATTCAGGCGCCATTTGTTCGTGAAGTATCTCAGATTTATATGGAGTTCAGTGGTTACGTGATCAACTGGAAAGGATGTAGAGTGATGCACTCGTGGCCTCTTACAGCATTTGCCAGGAAGTACTGAGGAAAACCACGAAAATCGAAGAACGGTATGTGTCCCGGCATAGGTTAGAACGAGGCACTTCCCGAAGAAAAAAGTCAGGAGCATTGCCGATTGAGCCAGCTTACTCGGATTTAGACGCTGTAAGGAAACTAGAAAGAACCAAGGAGTTCCAAGCGGAACTCATAAGGCATACTTTCCCGTCACATCGACTTCGAGTCCTACAGAATTTATTTTTGTTATTATTTAATAAAACAATAAATGATAAAACTGACCAGTCTCCTTGTACCGGTTCTCACGGTCTCTTCGCTTGCGGATTTCTTATTTTTCCTTCTACCCTGAAGATGGAGGCGATACGTTCCTCCGAAACGTCGGTTAACACCACATCTACGCGGTACCACATCCCAGAAAACTGCTTTCTTCATAGTCACCACCGTGAAAACATCAGATCTTACATTTTTATATTGTCCCCCAATCTACGGCTACCCGTTCCAGTTGGCCTCTCCCCTTCACGTTTCAGTACCAGAATGTTGCACGCATTTCTATTTCTCCCATGCGTGCTACATGCCTCGCCCATTTTATTCGCCTTTTCTTGCATAATCCTAATAATATATGGTGGAGAATAAAAGTTATGGCCCTCCTCAGAGTGCATTTTCTCCGGCTTTCTCTTATTTTCTCCCTCGTAGATTCAGATATTTTTATAAACATCCAGATTTTAAATATTCACAATTTGTTCATCCCATAATGTAACTGGCCAAGTTCCATACTCATACAGATCAAGGGTCAGAGTTAACGCGTTTTATATTTTAATTGTTATATTTTTAAAAACAGACGGGAAAAGAAAAGAATAAAATAGAATTTAATGGGTCTAGTTAAAGTTGTATTTTTTTGTATTCCTTCCAACCCCTGTATCAGTAACAATTAATTTGAAGTAAAAAGAAACTGAATAAATTTTGTAAAATAAAGGTATATAATATTCACGAAAATTGTGAAACGTTAACTGCGCGGATATTGCCATGAATACTCGGGTATCAGTTTGGCATATTAAGTACAAGTAGAAGTGAAGGCAAATAAATGGACCGAAACATGGCAGAAGGGGTTCAGGTGCCTTACCGATACAAAAGGGCCAGCGCCCATAAATATTCTATTATGCATCCTTGATTTAATGTGTTCCCATTGTATTGTACAAAATTCCATCCATTTTTACATATTTTTCAAATAAAACTGTATATTGAGGGTAATTTATAATTGTTTCATACTGTGAGTGGATATTTGTATTTTTATGTATGGCCTCTTTTTTTATTATTATTTTTCTGTCCGTAAATTCAGGAAGTGCCAACTAGATGTAATCATACAGAAACTCTACGATAAGTGAGAAGGCAGTACAGAAAGAGAACAGGAGAGAGTAGCTGTTATTACAGGGATCCATGCTGTAAATTCATTCTCAGTGTCACAGGGGTGGTTATATATTGGCATATAATTCGTATAGAGGAAATCCCCTTCACCCTCTGCTCGCGTCATCGTGCACTGTACATGGCCGCCGAGATAAAAATGGCGCGGCGAGATGGCCCATCGTAACACTGTATGAATATTGCTGTTACAGGTTAATCGCTGTTGGGCGCTGATAAGTTTTTGGGAAATCTCAGACCTCTGTGTGTGTCAGGTTCCTTCGTTATGATTAGACATTGCGCGCCTGCGGTAACCAGCGTCCGGAAGAGTTCTTCTTGAGACCAGCAGGCGTTCCACTGATCAATAAATTCTCAGCAGTTTATGAAGCCCCAAAATTTCGTCATTGGGTTCCCAAAACTCTGTGTGCGGACCATATCTCGAGCCAGTTGAATCCGTTTCACAGTCTCATACCGATATCTTATTTAGATTACAGCTGTGATGCCGTATAGTTTTGTAGATATGTACTACTCGAATAAACATACTGCTTCAATTTAAGGGTAGAAAAGTGACATTATTGTTCCCTGAAGATGGAGGTTATATGTTCTTCCGAAACGTCGGTAACTGACTTCCCAAACTACGCGGCGTCATATCACAAAAGACCATAATCTTAATACTCGTCGCATTGCGTTCAAGGCTGCAGTTAGCTCCCAAAATGGTCTCCTTCTGGATTTAAAACTAAAATTTTGTAGCAGCTTCTCATATATCCCATGCGCTCTGCAGGCTCCGACCTGCTTATGCTCCTCAATGTGATTCTCAAATAATGATTTTAAAGAGATTTCTCTTCAGAAATAATTCATATTTGCAGCGTTAAACTGTTTTAATTCCCAGTCCCGCGTACACATTTGATCATGTCACACACCCAAGTGCCTTAAGGGGCGCATACACGTACGAGTCCGACTCGGCTCGGGTTCCAATGAGCCAAACTCGTTCGTGTGTGGGTCGCAAAGTTGGGAGTCAGCTCATGCGTGTGCCGTGAAATTAATCCGATCCCGGCTCCTGAGTCAAGCTCGCCGAGCCGGACTCGCGAGCCAGACTCGTACGTGTACGGGCCCCTTTTGTCTCATCAAAGCGAATCTTCATCTCCTACTGAATCCAAGCATAAATTCTGTGACATTTACTTACTTGCTTATGGAGCTGAGCCCTTCTTGAGGAGCCGCCAAATCTGCAGCTACTCAAGAATTTCCCAGCATTTTATGGACCCAGAAATTTCATTACCGTGTTCACAAGAGCCCTCCACTGGTCCCTATCCTGAGCCAGACCAATCCAATCCATATCATCCCATCCTTTCTCTCTAAGACCCATTAAAATTTTGTGACAATGAAATTCTGCTTTTTCGTTGCAGGTCTGAGTTCGTCGAAGGGCTACCACTCGACTACCATCACGGAGTCTTTGCGTGTCACCAGCAAAGCAGGTAAGATACTGTTCTCCCTCTGTTAATCTTCATTTCTGAGCCGTCAAAGGGTTCTAACATTTTGCTGTTCATATTGTGTTTCTTGTGACGTGAACCGAAGTATTTCAGTTAAATAACCCCTCACAAGTTTCTCTTATGAAGCTTGTGTAGGCGGGATGTCTTGTTGAGTGTTGTTAAAACGGCCATGCATGTAATTATCACTGTTCTGTAAAGGCTTCATAGCTTGAGCCCCCCCNCTTGAGCCTTTTTTTTTTTTTGAACAGCCATTTCCTTTAGGAAACATGGCTAAATACTGAGTAACTCATTCTATAGAAAAGGGGCCCTGGAAGTATATTATTTGCGCAAATTGCACGCGACCTTAAGCACACTCAGCAGTCACCGTCCAGCCTCCTTGTTTAAGGACGTTTTGTTTCCCGTCTCTGTGAACGCATTGTTTCTATTTGTGCTGTAACAAGGTAGTCATAACCCTCATGAACCGTTGATATAATACAAACACGTGGATCCTGTAGGGCTTTGTAACTTTCATTTTAGTTTGTTACCTTTACACATTAGAAAAGTATTGTCACGTGTATTAGTGGCCAGAGACGGGCTTCGGATTGGTAATTGGTTTATTGGATTGGATCTTATTGGATCACAGTATCCGGAAGGATTTGAAATTTAAAGCACACGATGAATTCAAACAAAAAAAAACGTAATTATATAATCGGCACAAGTTCGGAAACACGACTGTGTCAGAGTTAAGAAGCGGTGGATGCTCGGAGACGTCAGCAGTATAAAGAGACTTAAGACCATGCTACCAGTTTGGACAGCGTTCACATATTTTTACAGAGCTACTGGACAAACACTAAAGCTATCCCTGTAACAGGCCGTGGAGGCCCATAGGGTTGTGAGATGTTGAGGTTCCCACATTTTCGAGACAGTCGGCTCAAAGATGGCGATGAGGTTGTCAGCCTTTACCTCCCTTTACCCCCAAGAATATTCCTGGTACTCATTTCTGTTAGAGGCTGAGTCGACCCCAGGGCCATAGTGCGGCTGGAAGGATTAATTTACATTATGTTCGGTACCAAATTTACCGCGTGCGTTTCTTCGCACTTCTTAGGCCACGCCTCTTTTTCATCTGCATTTCCAGTTTACTCACTCTTGGGAAGAAAGCTTTACTCTTTATGCCAGTTACTTTCGAAATTCTAAAACAATAACCCAGTGAATAAAATGGAGTGCATTCAGCCTTATAGTGGCATCTGGCGGAGAAATCGTCAAATGAATACACCAATATCGCAACTAAAGTCTCGTCTTTGTTTCTTTTCAAACTGTTTGTACCATTGAATCACGGTCTATCCAAGGAATTGTGTAATGGAAATTGGGAGAGAATTCGAGAGCAATGTTAGTTAATGGGGCGATCAGAACAAGTGGTGTTCACAGTGCGGTCCGCCCAATGAATATTGATTTGTTATGGGCGATAAAATTTTACTACATACCGGGAACAATGCGCTGTGTTTTAGTGAGATGTGTTCGAGCAGATCTGACTGGCATTAAAGTTGATTTGATATGATTGTCATTAAATGAGCACTGCAATAAGGATCTCCAATTCATAATACAGTTGTGCTAAAGCTCTCGCTTAGAAGCCGTCATTTCAGATCTACCTGGTTTCTTGAATTTATAACCGACTGAAATGACCGCCTCTGTGGTCTAGTGTTCCTAGCCACAGATCCAGAGGTCCCGGGTTCGATTACCGGCGCTGCCAGATTTTCTGAATAGTAGTAGGTGTGGAACGGGGTCCACTCAGCCTCGTGAGGTTAATTTAGGAGCTATTTCAAGGAAATAGCGGTTCCGGTCTAGAAAACCGAAATTAACGGCCGTGGGGATTCGTTGCGCTGACCACGCGACAGCCTGTATTCTCTAAAGTTGACACTGACTTCGCGGCGGTCGCTCAGTCGGTATAGTTCGCTTGCGGACTAAAGCCACGGAATCAAGACCCAAGTCAGTCGACTGAAATGCTGTGAATGCTTGTCTCATCAAAGGCTCAATGGGAAACAGTAACTAGGGATAGAACTAAGCTTGAAGCTGAACAAATGTAGACACGGCGCTGCTAATTGGTCCGGTTCGGTTACTAGTTTTCATGACTGGATCAACAGAGCTTACTTTAAGAAAAGAGAACTGAAGATGGCAGAAGCGGAGACGCATCTGACTTTTCAGAAGGTGTATGGTTTGAATCTATGCCGATACACCGAATATCCTGACTGAGGTTTTTCGTAATTTTTTCTCAATCCCTCCAGGAAAATCCCAGAATAGTAATTGTCACGTGTCTGAGTGACTCTCAACTGGGTTTCTGATTGGAGATTGGATTCATTGGCCACTTTAACACACAGTTCGTGACTACACTTAATTGTAGCGCCATCGCTGATTTCCATGTCTTCACAAGTCGTTCCATGGCAACAGCATCTAACAGTGCGGATTCTTCAACTGAATCAACCAAGTCTTCTGTTCACTAGTTCCTTTACAACTCTCTGTCAACTCACTCTGTTACAACTAACTTCTAAACTTGTCTCAGTTGTGACATCTCGGCACGGACCTCACAGAAGGCACTGTTCATTATTGTACCCCAGTCGTTTCCATGAGAACGTGCCTGTCGTTGTCAAATGGAGATAACAGGATAATATGTAATAAAAATTGTGCCCTGGAGAATTTTGTCAAACACTGCAAGTCTGAGTGTTATACGCCAGCTTCAGAACCATTTAGAAGCTAAAAGTGATTTATGTTTCCGAACTCCCCACCCCCCCACGCGATATTATATTTCTCAAAAGTTACTGGATGCTGCTTCGGGGCAGCATGTCAGTGTTTGTTGACGTCCCTTTCGGTTATGCCACCCGTAAAGACAGCAATAAGATATCGGGCAGCAGACCGCCTGTAACCCAGTCCGTGTGCTATTAACTTGTGACAGCGGCTACTCTACCCGTATCATGACGTTAGTGATTCTACTTTGGGGACGTCATCGAGTTTCAGAATTCTTGCCTACAGGCTGTTTGAACATGGGCGGTTTCGGTAGTGGACAGTAGCTTCTTATAATTTCGAAGTAATTCAATTTTACAAGTTACATCATGTAACTCTCTTAGTACAGTTTCTATATACACTGTTTTAGAAATTGAAAAACGAGGTATTTAAACCCACGGCTTAAAGTCCCTCCCGGAGGACTTGTTCCCTGAATTTTTCCGCCCTTAAAAATTCGACGACCTCCGCCGGGTATTTGAACCCGCGTACTACGAGTCATGAGGTGGGAACGTTACCTCTAGACTACGGAGGCCGCTTATAAACAGAATAACTGCAAAACATTGTAGGCTCTATGTAACTTTGAGGTTATATCAGATAATACTAAGTGGGAATCTCTACTGCTGTAAATTGTGCACAGAAATGGATCATTAAATTGCAAAGTTACTAATTGTTGGCTGAAGCGTCTGAAGCGAGGCAGGAGTCGTAAGATCTTCCCAGAACTAGTTATTAAATAATACTAATGATAATAACAATAATAATCCAGCAACCTCCCGACGGTGGGGCAATGCTGATTACTGAGACCGACAACAGAGATCTGCTGTCGGAAATGTCGGCCGCAGGGCGAGGCGTGTCAATATACGGGGAAGGGACCCCCCCCCCCCAGCACTTTGACGCAGCGACTCCAATTGTTTGTTTTGCCATGTCCCTCATTACAAAAAAATGTTTGCTTACATTAAAGAGCACACTAAGTAAGCTGCAGGATTCTTCCTGTACAAGTCCCGAAGAGTCGGCCGTAATATAATTATTTTTTGCTTTTATTGGATCATAATTTCATGAAGAAGTTATGAGCGTTAAGTGTCACTCGAGACTTTGAAAAATAATTATACGTGTATAAATACAGTATATTTTTGGTTGCCTCATATTTGTGCTCTTCGCCAAATTTTATGAATGAAATGAAATTAATGCGGAAAATATGTGAAGGGCATGTAGCACTCATCGGCAGTGAGACGACAGTAGATATTAGTCGGAACACATTAAGTTAGGAGGTAACTTACAAGACCTTAGGCCGCGACATAGCTCAAGCGGTTAGTCGCTGGCTTCCCGCCGCGGCGGCCCGGGTTCGATCCCGGGTCCGGTAAAGTGGGATTTATGGTGGACAAAGCTGGGGCAGGTTATCTCCGAGTACTTCGGTTTCCCCTGCCAATCTTCATTCCACCCTCACCTATCATCTGGGGCTGGTACAATATGCCAGAAGTGGCCGCAGTACAAGGGACTTAGTCCCACCCCACCAGCAATAAAAAAAATCAGACTAATTCATAACTTGTACTCTTCTCCAAATATAATTTGAATGATCAAGTCAAGAAGGATGAGATTGGCAGGGCATTTAGCAAGAATGGGGTGAGGAGGAATGCATATAGGATATTGGTACAAAAGCCAGAAGGAAAGAGACCACTGGGAAACTAAGACGTATGTGAGGGCACAATATTAAAATGGATCTTAAGGAGATAGGATGGAATGGTATAGACTGGAATGATCTGGCTCAGGATAGGGACCAGTGGAGGGCTTTTATGAACACGGTAATGAACCTTCGGGTTCCATAAAACGCTGGGAAGTTCTTGAGTAGCTGCACAATTGGCGGCTCCTCAGAAGGGCTCAGCTCCATGAGTGAGTGAGTGAGTGAGTATCAAACTAACAGTTCTGGTAATCCCACCATTACCATAACAAAGTCCGCTTTCGTAACCCAAGAATTATATAGCTGGCTACGGGCTGGACGACCGACGAGTCGCAGCTCGGGTTCTGGTTGGGACAAGAATTTTCTCATCTCTTAGTCGCCCAAACCGGTTGTGGGGCCACCCAGCTTCCTAGCCAGTGAGTATCAATGACTCTTTACCCGGGGGTAAAACGGCCGGGGCGTGAAGCTGACCACTCACCTCCAACTACTGCCGAGGTAAAGAAAACGTGGCTCTATACAGTCACTCCCCCTTACGCCTTAATGGCGTAGTGCTTTATTAATT